AAAAAAAAAAAAAAAAGAACAGGCAAACTGCATACTTGGGAGAAAATATTCTTAAAACTCAAATTTCTGACAAAAGACTGGTATCTAAGATATATAAAGGAATTCTGTAACTCAGTAATAAAAAGGTAAAAAAAAAAAAAAAATTGAAAGGGGCAAAAGATTTCAACAGAAATGCCACAAAGGAAAGTAGCCAAAAGGCACGTGTAAAGATGCTCAATGTCATTATCCATTGGGAAATGCAAATTAAAAGCAAAAGAGGATGCCACCTGCAAGCACAAAAGGCCATGAATGATGGGAACAGGAGCTGAGTGAGGAGTTCAAATCCTAGGTCTAACACCTACTTGCTGTGTAATCTTGAGTAACTTCACTGCTGGATCCTTGTTTTTCTCATCTGTAAAATGGGGTGTTCTAAGTGTTCCACGACCTGTTGTCATAGTGACATCATAGGAGCTGTCACTCTTATCATCATTGTCATTTTTGTTGTCTTCACCGTTAAGTTGGGGAGGGAGGGAAGCTGGTGCTGTGGCTGCAAACTTAAGAACTTGCCTGCAAACCTTTCCTCTCTCTTGACCTTCCAGACCATTCTGCCTTTAAGGTGTGTTTGGATGCACACATGAATGTGTTTTCTTTTCCCAGGGGTCTCTGTGTTGGTATTTATGCCACCAACTCTGCCGAGGCTTGTCAATATGTCATCACTCATGCCAAAGTGAACATCTTGCTGGTTGAGAATGATCAACAGTTACAGAAAATCCTTTCGGTAAACCCCTACCCAGCAAACTCCTACACACTGCCTGCCAAAGTCACCCAGGGAGACCTCAGGGCTCTGGGCAAGTGTTCTTTTTCTCCCAGGTAAATTCTAATGAGGGCCATTAGAATAAGGCCATACATCGGTTCAGCAAGAGTCCTCCGTGACCTCATTAGTATACGTGGTGAAGCTGATGTTTGGAGAAGCAGAGTGAAGTGGAGGAGTTTGATTTCCAATTCATATTAACTTAGTTTAATATTCAGCCTCCATTTCTTTTCTTTTTTTTTTTTTTTTT